GAAAATGTTTGGAGTACAAGGGACAAGCTGTAACATCCTGATTTTCTATTTAATTAGGACAAGTAAGTGTGATTGCGGGGTAAATTTAAGTGTAGTGTTTGGTTCAATTGGAGACTGACAAAAGTTTAGGTTTTGATTATCTGGAGTATTTGAGGTTCCTACCGAATATTCTATGTTACATTGTCTTATTGAAACTAGTTATTCAGTTCAGGTTTTCTTGATTACACGATTTGAAAGATTTAGAGTTAGGAATTAATGAAAAAGAGAGATTATTGTAAGATACTCCTCCCGTCCTTAATATAAGACCTATTTAACTAATTTGATTAAATTAAGAAAGTTAAGTAAGTTAGTTAATTATAAGAAATGTGACATGTTTTTTTCTAAAACACCATAATCATCTTTCTTAATACCCCCATCTCCCTTCCACTTGATTATGGTTAAGGAGGTATCTATATGGGTAATTTACAGAAAATTGATAAATATGAGAAATTGGTCTTATATTTAGGACCAAAACTAACTTAACAATTGGATCCTATATTAAGGACCGGAGGAGTATGATAATTACATGTTGATATTGATCATGATCATTGTGGTTATTACACTAGATTAGGTTGATCTCAAACGCTGCCATATCATTAATGTTATCCACGTATGATTTCGTCCTCTAATCTAGGATTGTGATCTGCTCATGGCCAATGACACATTTCATGATTAAAAAGAGGAAACCTATATATGATTCAGTCATAAGCTTTGCAGCCTTTAATCAGGCTATATCCTATGATTAACAAGCTTGCAAATAGTCATTCACATGTAGATTCTTAGTCCATGGATCTAATTAGAGGTTCCAGTGAGAACATAAGGACAGATACATGAGGTTAAATGTATTTTTTCTTGATATAAACTTCATGAAAAAGTACATTATTTATTGTAAATGCTACTCCTTCTGTCATTAATATAAGATCTAATTAATTAATTTGAGTGGATTAAAAATGTTAGTTAAATTAGTTGATATAATTTTTTTTAAACATTCTAAACATCTTCCTTAATTTTCTCTCTCTCTGTCCTACTTGATTATTATTGGGAGAATATCAATAGTATTAATTTAAAAAAATTGATAAATATGTATAATATCTCTGCACCGGAAGAGTATCATGTTTGTTTATATATGCCTAACATGTTATTAACACCCGTTTGTTTGTATCTTGAATTTGAGTGTTGATTCTTGAGACATCTTTTATCACACCATATTATTTCAAACATTTTTTAAGAGAATGTTCAGCAAAATGTTTTAAGGGACAGATGTTTATAATGAATTGTCACAGCAACAAAAAAAAAGATAATGAAGATTTAGGCCGTTACACTCCACAATAGAATAGACATAAAACAAACTTGTAGTAGATTTATGAGGTGTTTGGAAGGTGTCAAAAGCATTTTTAAAAGGTGTTTTTATGTAAGTCGAGATAAAACTTCTTTCACACATCTATCTTAAATTTTCTAAAAACACTTTTAAAATTATGATTTAGTTTTTATCTAAACATTCTCTTAATTTTGCCTGCAGTATTAGTATATGCTTTTTTTAAATAATGAAAAGAAAAGGCGTAAACTTGAACGGGGCCACTTGTGCTGGAATTTAGTGGAGGAGTAGTTTAATTTGAGGGACATGATCTGAAGTTCATTGCACAATTCCATAACATCGTCCCTTTTTAAATCCTCACTTTTGCCCAATAGCGACATTACCATTGGACAAGGCAAGGGCGTGAGCCCAAAGTTCCCTTATGTGGCGAAATTTTGTTCCCCATGACGTCTAAGATGCTCAATTTGTGACTCATCTTTACCTTATTATTATAAGAACATGTTGACTACTTGGCATAAACTAATGAAATTAGTTGAAACTTGAAAGCACTAAAGTGTTAATCAAAATTTATTTTTAGTTTTCTAAAAATCACATTTAATCAAAATTGAGATGAGATGAATGATGACAGTGGTCAGAAAGAATATTTTGAAAAATTACTCATAAATATTTTACTACTTTTTATAATACTACATCCGATCCTAATTATAAGATCTTATTTATAAACGAGATCTTATAATTAGAAGTAATAGTTTTTTTTTTTTGGCCAGGCTTTGTGTTAAAAGGATTTTTATTAATATTGCATGAAGGAATAAAATATATGTTTTTAAAGGATTGAGCGTGATGAGAATTGGCAAGATACAATGTAAGATGGCACGTGGGCCAACTTGATTAACGCAACTACTTTATTATATTCGCATATTATATACACAAACTATTGATGTGATGTGGGGATATTGAATAATAAGGACCAGTTGAGGCGTGTGGAAGCCATGGCCTCTTAATATTAAATATCTGACTTTAGAGAAGGAGATGACAAAATATGCTGTTCTGATTCTACTTTATCTGTTTGCTTATTTATGTTAGGCTGCGATTGTGAATTGTGATTTGTAATTTCAGCTAGACATACATTACCAGCAAACTACACCGTGGTTATTTAGCTCATATTTGAATTATATTTTCCGATATTAAGTATAACTATAGAAGCAAGTTGGTTTTGATTATAAAGAGAAGAATTTAATTCACTTTATCTTTTTGTATTCATCATTTTTTTTTCTTAACTAACTTATTTAAATAATAAACCAATATACTACCTCTGGTCCTAAATATAAAAGTCAGTTGACTAATGTCAGTAGATTAAAGAAGTAAGTTAAGTTATTTATTTGTAATAAATAGGTGTTTTCTTTCTTAAAATATCCTTACTAATCAAATTTATTGGTTAAAACTACTACTATGAGGAGGACTATCTTTAAAAAAATAGATAAATACGAGAGACAAAGTATATTGAGGTTTTATATTTATAACTAAAATAAAGGTCAAATAAGATCTTATATTAAGAACCAGAAATAGTATGATATGATGTTAAATGTAAATATTTTAGGGAATCAAGTTACATTTGTTACAGTTAAGTAATTTATTTAACTTATTTAATTTATTCAAATTAGTAAACTAATTCTTACGTCGAGGATTAAAGGAGTAGTGTTTTTTTTTTTTTTTTGAGTAAACAAGTGGCGACTTTTTTCCTGATTTTTTTTTTCACATGTAGAAAACCCTAACTTTTACGATGAGAAATCTTTTTAGCAATTTTCCTAATAAAAAAAGCGTTGTGATTACGTGTTTTTTCTCTCAGTTATACGACTCATATCACTAATTTCAGATTATTATTTAGTGTTTTATTCTTTCCTCCTTCCCTCTAATACATTGCAAAGTCTCCGAACAGCTAAATTGCCATCACCAAGGAACAAAAAACCGGACCGGGAACTCAACCGGTCCAGGTAGTGGGTTAAGGGTCACTGGTTAGACCGTGGTCGAACCGGGGTCGGACCGGTCATAATAAAATAATATAATTTAATTCACAAAATCAGTTAGGCACCTAAAGTTTGGATTAAATCTATTCCAGAATATATAATTTACAATCAAAATATCCATCACCAATCCACAACTAAACAAAAGGAATTAAATTATATATGTGAAGATCAACATCAGCACAACAGCAAAAACTAAGCTCACAGTATAATCAAAATTATAATGCAGAAGTACAGAACGATAGCTTCTCTTCTGTACAAAATTAATATCAAGTCAATCAACGACTATGGATCTTAAATCTCGCTCTCCTCCCTTCTCAAATCTCACAGCTATGGATCAAGTCAAACAACACTCTCCTCCCTTATCAAATCTGAAATCTCACGACAGCAGTCACAGGGTCATAGCACAGAGAGAAGCAGCTCTTCGATCTTAAAAAAAACAACCCAACTAAAAAGGAAAGGTATTGAGCTTACCCACAAGGCTAGAGCTCAATGCCTGAATCGAAGGTTGAAGCAGGACGTCCGTGAATGATGAAGGTGAAGCAGGATGGACTATGGAGACTCATGACTTGCGATGGGAGCTGTGAGGGCGAACGGTGAAGGCGAAGTCGAGCTACAAATCTGAAGCAATGTGAGCGGCGAAGGTGAACGGCGAAGGCGAAGGTGAAGGCGACCGGCGAAGGCGAAGTAGAGCTGCGAATGCGAAGCAATGTGAGCGGCGAACGGAGCCAAAGAGGAAGGAGTGCCATTGTCAGTGATGAGGCGACGCCATAGATCCGATTTTGTTGGGGTTCACGGCACGAATCTGGGACTTGGAGGAGGGGGAAGAGATCTCAGCGATTTGGTCACAAATGGCCAAATGGGGAGGACTGGAGGAGGACCGGCAGCTTGAGTCGAGATTGGCACCCTAGGGAGGGACAAAGAGTTTTCATTCTGGTTTTTTTTGGACAAAACGACGTCGTTTTCTGTGGCTAGGCAACCAAAAAAAAAAACATGTGAACCGCCCAACCGGTTTTTCCCGGTTCAACACCGGTTTTTACCGGTTGGACCGGTTCCCCACCGGTTCAAACCACCTCCGGTTTTTTCTTCAAACCAGACCGGACTAGCGACCGGTTCACCGGTTTTCCGGTTGAACCGGCCGGTCCGGTCCGGTTTTTTTTACCTTGGCCATCACGCTGGCCCGAAAAGAGAAAAGCTTCACAATTCCAAACAATGATAAACGCTAACTGAGGTATCCAGTTCGAAGCCGACAATAATAGGTTCCTGATTCATGAAACCAGTATGGATTAATTATTAACAAAATTTTTTTTTTTAGTTATACCGAACACTTTTAAAATAATACTCGTATATTCTGACTGATTTGACTTCAGCAAGTTTGCACCCAAAAAAAGAAGAAGAAGAAGAACATGGCAAGTTGAATTATATAGATGTAAATTTAATCTGGGGAGAGTAAAACGATACGTTTTGACAAAGTTTTTTGGGTGAAATTACGGGGCCAAGCAGCCCAATTTAACGTTTTGACAATATCTTGTCGACAAAAATACCCTAATTATTGGGCCTGTAGTGCATGGGCCTTGGGCCTTCTTATTTACCCGGAAATCTAACGCAGGCGGGAGAGTTGCTGTAGCCAGAGAACAGAGAGAGAGAGAGAGAGAGAGAGAGACGAGGGGTTCACTGAGGAAGAATGGCTACAGAGGAAGAGAGCGCGGTAAAGGAGCCGTTGGATCTCATCAGGCTCAGCCTGGACGAGCGTATCTACGTCAAGCTTCGTTCTGACAGAGAGCTTCGCGGCAAGCTTCACGTACTCCTTCTTAGAACCATTTATTCTTTTGTTTTAAGTTTCCTATGTTCTTGCACTTGATGCTCGACCTAGCATCGGCTGCTTTGAGCTTTTTCTGTACTAATGAGACTTCTCTTTAACGATTAGGGTTGCTATTGCCTTTTAAGCGTTCAATTCTTGGACTTTCTCCCTTTGCTTCGCGGCATCTAATTTTAAGTTTCGATTCATGACAATGAAAATACTAGTTACTTGCCGTTTTCTAGTCTGTAGTTTCCTCTCTCTTAATCCATGTAAGAAAGATTTTCCCCGCCGATTATGGATACAAGGTTAATCCCATGTAATTTGAAACGTAGAATTGGTCAACATGTTACATGAAAATTGTTGAAACGACAGAATTGTATTGCGAAGTAAATTGTGTGTTATGCATTGATCTTTGAATTTTGGAAGTCTTAACGCTTCTGCCCGTTGACGCTTACTAGCTATTTTACTGGAAATTTCGAATTCTAATTTACTGGTCAAACGCAGACTGTCTGGACTTTGTATTCATGCTTTTTCTTTGGGTGAAAGTATGCCTGAACTCCGTGTTGGTGCTGAACATGCTGTGTGTAAATCCTAAGTAGAATTAAATTCGGTTATGCCTGCTTGGTAATGACATAGCATTCTACCTACATTGGTTTTCATCAGTTTCAGGCTTGGTATACTGGTGACCCTCGCATTTCTTTCCAATCATAAGTCTACTTTCCATTGAGCCAACAATTCTCCCTCACACCGCTAGGGTTGATAGAGTTGTCTATTTAAGAACAATTTCCTGTGAACGTTGAATTCTATTGGAAAATTGGTTTCACATTACGAGTTCGTGTAAAGAAAATACCTGTTGTTTGCGTCAAAGTTTCTTAGTCCTTAATCCTTTTATTGTGTGTGTGAATGGACAAACACAAAATATATTACTTGCCAGTATTTTATCCTGTCTTTACTGTTTATTTTGGTCTGATATCATTGGCATTTGGATGATTCTATTCCATGGGCTTCACACCCCGTTTTATTTTTATATGCATCCAATGTGCAGGCTTACGATCAGCATCTAAATATGATTCTTGGAGATGTCGAAGAAGTTGTCACTACTGTTGAAATTGATGATGAGACATATGAAGAGATTGTCAGGGTAAGCCTTGATCTGTATTCTCTTCCCCTTCCCTAAAAGAATGCATTTGGTTTTCAAAGATAAAAGGAAGGACCAGAAAAAAATGTGGGAAAGATTTAGCCATGGTAATTGAAATTCTTTCTTGACATTTGTGTAGTTTAAATAATGAGCTATGCCACTGGCATGAGTATACATGATTACATACAATTAAGTAGTTCCCATGTTTTACCTATTGGTTTAAGGGGCGAGTTTTCTTTTTATCATTTGACTTTTATGGATACAAGGCCTTTGTAACCCAAAAAAAAAAAAAAAAAGATACAAGGCGCCTTGTGTAAAGGAAGCTGTTGATGGGGGCCTGTAAAGAAAGCTGTTGATGAGGGCCTGTCTCATGTGGTTTCAGTGTACGTGCCTTTTGCCACAGTAAGTGGTGCACGTCATTTGAAATCTGCAATGTCACAGCCATCATCTGCTGCAAGCCACTCCATGCCGCAGCTTGCTATCAATACCCTTTTGTCTGAGAAATTACAAGGTAGGCTCAAGTTATGTCCACCAAGCCAATGTGGAATAGACTTGTAGACTTTTTTGAGGGGTTCCGCAAGATGGTGATACCTATTGGCTTGGTGTAACCGGGTATACCTAGGAATTTCTAGATGTTTCAACAAACAGTAGTTTGCTCTTACTAGGAAGGAACGCTGTGGAGAATTTGTGGATCAGGTCTTATTCAAATTGGGGGAATTTCACCCATCCCCAATCTTCATCAAACATTACTTGCACTTGTTTAACAAAGGCAACTGAAAGTGAATGTGTTTAACATATACACTGTTGATATTTTTTCCTGTTGTGATTTTTGTTTTCTTCCAATTTCAGACTACCAAGCGAACAGTTCCTTTCCTGTTTGTAAGGGGAGATGGGGTGATATTGGTTTCCCCACCACTGAGGACTGCATGATGGGGACTGATGAACTGTAATCATTATAAGCTTTTGACACCTCTGTGTAATAGTCCTTTCCGCTTATAATGAGATTAGTTGCGATACTGGTATGTTTATTCCTGATTTTTATTAGAAACATGAGGATCATGAATATAGTTGAACAAGCTTCTATGGTGATGTGTAGAGCTGGCTTCACTTGCAATTGGCTCTCAAGATTCTGAATGTGGTGCCATTCCTTTATAGCTTGTCACATGCTACAGAGACTGTCGTGCGTGATTTGATGATGGATATAGGAAAACTGATAATTATCAAGCGTAATGGTAACCTTGTCTTGTTATGACTTCTTTTTTCAGTTGTTTTTTCGGGCTTTGTAAGATGCGAATGAACATTGCATGAAATGTCTGGACCGGCAATTTATGACCTATTGGCGTACTTTTTAAAGAAAATCGGCTTCATGCAAATTATTAAAAAACACCTATCAGATAGGTTCATTGTAAAAGAAAATAAATTCAATCAATAATATGGTACATATCTATATACTGTGCCTAATCAACAAAATAAGCTGGATAATCTCAATTACGACGAGCAAAATGATTTGCATTGATAATTTGATACGTCTTAAGTGTGGCCATACAAATCCAGAAAAGGAATGCGTTACTCCTTCTTCCAGTCACAAGAACTTTATATCATTTACACGACCAGATCATCTGTAATATTCTAACAGGGAAAGCAGCTGCAACATGTTGCGGAAGACAGTCGGGCGCTTTCCTTCCTGGGTTCACACTCCTATTTAGCCGCAGCCTCGGCAGCATACAGTGCTTTGATTTCCTCAACATCATCATAGCTGCCGAGGAATATAGGAGATCGCTCATGCAACTTCTTCGGAACCAAGTCAAGTGCCTGTTAAGATATACATCAGTTAACCACAAGTATACGGCTTGAATGATTCTTATTTGTTGAGAATATAATTTGGAGTCATCAATTAACTATAAAGCCCTAATGTTCGTGAGGCTGATGCTAATATGTATGCCTCCCTAGTTCTTAAGCATAGGATTCTATACCCACTAAAATTTCTCAATTATTCGTTAGTGTAATTCATGAGTGAGATTCTGGACATTGATTGCCAAGGAAAAAAGTGTTTTCTAAACCAGATATATGCAAAATCGCTTCTCAAAGAATAAAGAAAGAAGCAGGAGAGGCAGGCAGTAAATTACCCGTATCTTGCCAGTGAAAGCCTGGCCTCCTGCCTGTTCCATCAAGAATGACATGGGGAACACTTCATAGAGAACGCTACGCCAAACAAGTTAAATAATCAAGTCATCCTTCTGCATGAATTCAGAGTTCACAAATCACCAAAACTTATGTGTTAGATGTAACGCACCGGAGTTTCCCGTTAGGACTCTTTTTATCACCGGGGTACAAAAAGATTCCTCCATAAAGCAACGTACGATGGACATCAGCCACCATGCTGGCAGTTTTCGTAAAAATACACGCAGCAAAAGGGTCACAAATTGGAAACAGATGCTAAAATTTGAAACAGAAAAGCGCTATTCGCACTGAATGGCGATGGCTTTCTCTTGTCATACATAAAAAATTATCATGATGTGCATTAATCGTGGTTATTTCATTTAAATAAACAAAAAAAAAGCATGTTCTGGACTGTCCAATGACATTATATTGCTGTTTGGATTACCTTTTTTTTTTTTTTGAAATCAATGATGCAACAAAATTAGTTCTGTAGAAGGAAAGAAACAGTTCTGTCAGAGTTGTAGGACGCAACTGAATTTTTCTGCTAGCTACTCACAGAGACAGTTCTCTCATAGCCGCTGATGGCTAAAGCATGGTGTGACCATAACTTGTAAAACAGAGGTGGGAAGTAAAGCAGGGGTCAAGAATTAGCAGTACCTCCCAATATATCTTAGCGACTTCGGAGATGAGCCATCTTTCGGAAACTTGCATTTCTCCACATACCTAGATAGAACAGAAACAAAAGATTGTTGGAGATGCAACATAGTGCCTGAGAATATATAAGATTTTCATACTTACTTGGCAGTAGGACCATCCCAGTTCTTGGCATTTCCTTCATTCACTGAATAGATCTTGCCCTTTTTTGGGATCTACAGGGAGATCACATGAAACGATTCATATGACGCTTCAAAGAAGCCAAAGAAGATATAACAAAAATTCACATAGCTGCCTATATTGTATCCATGCCTGATAAATAAGTTCTCCTCCTTCAAAACTAAACATAGACAGACAATGCAGGGAATACCTTAATGTCAGGGTGAGTAAGAATGAACTCTCCAAGAGATGGGTCAAGGGTGAATCCATTAACACCAGTTCCAGTGCTCAACACAAGCTGCAAATTTTGTCATATTGATCAGCAATCAGAACAGACTGGGCCAAAGATAATTTAAAAGAGAAGAAGAAAGATATAGGGGCAACAAACAGAATCAAAGTATTCAATTAAAGGAAAGAAAGAAAAATAAGGATTTATCATACCGTGCAAGAGCTCCCATACATGCAGTAACCAGCTGCCAACATGTTCTTCCCCGGTTGCATGACATCTTCTATAGTGGGTTCATGATCTTTCACCATATAGATCCCAAAAATCTAGATGCAAGACAACATATTCAATTGACAACCGCAACTTGCAAGTTATTCTGGTATATTAATTCCTCTGTAGTCTATGCTAAAGTCAGGAGGTAGAGGACTTTAATAAAAAAATAAAAAATGGAGAAGGGACTATACTGTGCCGATGGAAACACCGCAATCAATGTTAGAGGAACCATCCAGAGGATCAAAAGCAACACAATACCTTCATCATCAGAAAAATCCATCGTTTAACATTCATCAGCCACAAGAAAACAAGTATACGTGTCAATGGCCTAAGGAACAAACAAATCGAAGAAACAAGGAGCAGTAACTACTTTCCACGTTTAGAGGGTTCCACAAATGTTGCTTCCTCATCTTCTTCTGATACCAAGATGCACTGAAAAAAACATTTTACCCATCAGCGGAAGCCAACAAAGCTCAGCTCAGCGACTCAGGAAACGACATTTATGACTTACTGTTCGCCCACTGCTTATCAAAGCCTTGATGAATACTTCATTGGAAAGGACATCCAATTTCTTTTGTTCTTCACCCTGTTCTCCAAATTGAAAAACAAATGCACTAGAAAATGAAATCCCGGAAAACATAAGACAAGACGTTTCAAAATATAATAAGAGACATATTTCAGACAGTTCACGTGTTGCAAGGAAAATGCTAAACAGAGATTTACGAGGCTACCAGAATTATCAAGCACTTGCCTGAACATTGGTCTCACCAGCAAGTCCTATGAGCTTTGCAAGACCCGCCTGCATCATTAAAAGTTAAATTTTGTTATTACTTTTTCATAACCATCAAGCTTCCTTTGATTACTGAAGACTCATTTTAATCATGCAAAGATGGCCTTCGTGACAATGGGCTCTTTTGAATTTGAATTTTTTTAGTAAGTTGTACAACTTTTGTACTCGAAAACTTGATTCGATCAATGCCATAAAAGATTCTCGAAATATTACAAACTATCATTTTAGATTCAATTAACCTTTCTTTTTGTTTTTTTTTGTTTGGGATCCAACTAGCTTCAGACAAAGAGATAAAGCCCAAATTTTGCTAAGGCAGGCACTAAAATTCAGGAGTTTTCACAAGTGCGAGCATTTCCAACACAGAAAAGCAAACAGATACAAAGAGACCTTGCTAACAGCAGAACAGACGAACTTGCAACCCAAAACAATGTGATTGAGCAAGATGGTGAAATCGCCGCGAGATTCAGGATGCTTGGACTGCTCATTGAGCACGAACCGTGTGATGGTCATTAAGTCCGTGCGTTGGGCATCGGCGCTGTGATCCATGCTTTCTTAAACTTAGAGCCACTTCGAACTTCGCTTCGCGCTGAAAGAAACGAACAAAAGCACGTTTTTGAGTGGAAAGAACTGGTATTTGAATGAGCCCCCCAAGCGGGTGCTCGAATCGAGGTACGAAGATAACATAGGGGAGGACGAAAAAGATGGATGGGGCTATCCACGAGCAATGGAGATTTTGGCGACACGTGGCAGGCAGAGAAGGGTGGAGGGAGCTCGTGGTGGTGGCGACGGATAACAATTTTCGTCGTCATCTTCATGTATTTGCGGCTTGTTATAGGATCTACGACTGTTGCTGTTGCAAGCTTTCGTCGTCATCGCGCGCTCGGCTGCGTCAGGTTGGCAGTTGAGAGCTTCCTAGCGAGTGACGCAAAATGTTCTTTTATTTTTTTAATTTAATACTAAATATAAAACGAATTTTTTTTTATTTACATTTTTATATTATACATGCACTGCAATTTCATTTTTGGCAAAAACAAATAACATGATTTTTTTATAAATTTTACAGTTTCATCTAAAACTATATTTCCTCACATCTTATGCTAGAGTTAAGGAGTCAGGAATAGGTCGATTCATGATTTAACTTGGCCTTATTTTTGTACGTTTGAGCTCAAATGTATATTGTAGTAGTCCAATGAAACTTCCTATGAAAGAGCGAACAAGCAAATGGGACAGTAGCGGAGGGTGGCATCCAATTTGTAAAAACCATACGGAAACGAGTATCCATGCACTGAGAGACTGCAAGTATGCAACCTTTATCTGGAGGAAGCTAATCTCAGAGCAACGGAGAGTCGTGTTCTTCGGTCAAGAGTGGAATGACTGGTTACAGGAAAACATGTCACTAAGAGAGAAGTTGAGCGAGAAAACCAAGTGGGCGGACCTGTTCGCAGTGGGGTGCTGACATATTTGGAAGTGGAGGAACCAATGGGTGCGTAATAAGGACTTCGAATTTCCTAGCTCCCCAGAGGGGGAAATATGGAAATATATGGAGAATTATCATCATAAATGGGGGGAAGGTCTGTGGGATACGAAAGAAGTGGAAAGCGTCTACGTAAAGTGGCAACGACCGAGGACAGGGTGGTGCAAACTGAATACTGACGGCACAGGGACAATAGATAGATCAAATAGTTGTAGAGGAGTGATTAGAGGGGACTGTGGAGAGTGGCTAAGAGGATTTACAATGAAAATTGCGGGATGCAGTATCAATGAAGCCAAGCAAGGAGTGTACTGGAAGGTCTGGAGTTGTGTGGGAGGATGGGGTTTCGAAAAATTGAGGTAGAGTGTGACTCAGAGCTGATTGTGGAAGCAATTAATAAAAATGCTACCATGACTGGAAATTACAGCATCTTTGCAAAGATCCAAGAAATGATGGTGAAAGAGTGGAACGTGATAATCACTCGTGTTTGCCGAGAAAGTAATCGCTGTGCAGATAGATTGGCTTATCTAAGTCTGGAACAACAAATCAGAGTCGTTTACTGGCATCTCCTCCCAGCGAGCTTCAACCACTGTTGTTCGAAGACCCGGAGGGTGTAGGCATTATGCGCGGTATAAGTAGTTAGCTTTCTCGTATTTCTATTTGTTCACCAAAAAAAAAAAAACTTAGTTAGCTTTGCCTCTGGTTCTTAACATACTTCTTGATATAGAAGTTATTTAAATGATTGAATTTAATTTTAAGTATAAGACTTTAATTTAATTTGTCTCTCGTATTTGCAGTTTTTATCAACTTAATTTACCTAATTGTAAACTAATTTGAAGTATACATTTAATCATTGGACTTTATATAGGATTTTAATTAAAAAGTACACCTCTGGTCGCTTTGTCCTGAAATTGCTAACAAAAAATATGATATTAAAATCTTAAATGTTAATAAAATATTTTCAGATACTAACATATTAAGTTTAATTTTCAAAACAATAATAATTGTTTTAAAAAAATTATCATTTGAGTCTAACGATTTTAGAGTTAAAGAACAAAAAATATTTTTTGTAAGGTTAGAGAATCAAATTAAAATTTTGCACAAAATTAAATAATAAAAATACATGCTTTAGCTTATAAATTAACACGTGAGTATTTTAAGAAAATTTGTTCACATTTATTATATTCGGTTAACTTATCTAACAATCTACTTAATTCATTAAATAAATCTTGCAAGGATCGCAGAGAATATTTGAGGTGAAGCTATGGAAAGCCCAAAAGGAGTCTTACCTATCCAATCTTACTGCTTAAGTAATATGTAGAGCTGATAATATGGGTTGGCGATGTGGATACAGACAAATCTATAATAGTGCAGGCTGAAGTAACTCGTGCTTTAGTGGGCTGGCAAAATGCCAACCTGCACCTGCCAAGGCGGGTTAGTGAGCTAGCTTGGCGGCCCACCTAAATTTTCTTTTAAAAAAATTATTATTATTTGTATAGGTTGAGTTTAGTTTGAAATGTTGAAATTGGACTTAGAGTTTTGAATTTGAGTAGTGTGTTATAATAAAATAATATAAGGATTAATTTATAATTTGAGAAGATATTTTAGAAAAACTAACACATTTTTTTGTAAATAATTAATTTGACTATTTTTCTTATCTAAATTACTCATCCGATCTTAAATATAAGACCCTTACTAGTATAAGGGTCTTATATTTAGGACCGAAGGAGTAATTAAGTAGATCTTTTATGTGTATTGCATATGCAATTATATAAATGAGGCGATGTTAATGTGAAATTTGATGATCAAAATCTTCCAACTATGTTTTTATAATATATTAAAAATCACATGAAAATAAAAATTAAAAAAGACAGAAAAGAAAAGCGGGTTAGCTCGTGGCGGAACAGGTTCAAAGTGGTGCGAGTTGGAGTAACCCGTATTTTGGTGGGTTAACATTTTGCCAACATGAGTCCATTATTTTTTGTGGGCTGGTAGGCTCTAGTCATATGGCCATTTGCTCCTCGAGTAAGTCATACAATTATTAGCTAGAAGATTTCATTTAGTTTTGTATTTTGTGTCTATTTTTACATTTTCATGGGATCTCGTTAAGTTTCATGTTTTTGATGGTCGAGACTCGAGTTTGTAATCATATAGTCTTTAGATTTCGAGTCTCTTCCCCCAGAGATTTCGAGTTGGGTTAATTGTTTCTTGGAAGTAAAGATTTACTCCTCCGGTCCTTAATATAAGGCCCATTTAACTAATTTGATTAGATTAAGGAAGTTAGGTAAGTTAGTTAATTATAACAAATGTGACGCGTTTTTCCTAAAACACCATAATCATCTTTATTAATACCTCCTCTCCCTCTTGTACTTGATTATGGTTGAGGGAGTATCTATAGGGGTAATTTAGAGAAAATTGATAAATATGAGAAATGGGTCTTATATTTAGGACCAAAACTAACTCAACAATTGGGTCCTATATTAAGGACCAGAGGAGTATTAAATTATTGTATTACCCAAAATAAGAGTCAAATAAAACTCTTTTCATTAATAAAATCATTTACCTGATCCTCCTCAATTATGAAAAGATTTTTTAATCTATAACTGTTTTTTGATAAGCTAATCTATAATTTTATATCTCTACTTATTTATGGCCCATTCTATGTATTTTGGAGATTAAAATTTGCATAAATAAAATGGAGAACTTTCCACCATTAAGGGGTAAATTCAATTTTTTGTATTGCTGGTAAAAATAAAAAATTTCAATTTTTTGTATTCTGATTCCAGTGTATCGTTGGGTCTCTCAAAGGGCTTGTTTGGAGCTCCGTTCAAAACAGGCTTTTAAGCAAGTTCACGTAAACCGAGACAAAACCCTTCTCACATACTTACCTCGTATTCCGTAAATCACGTTTGAAAAGCTACTTATAAGTCAATCCAAACAAACCCAAATTTGCGTCAGGCTTGTAACAACAAGAAACTACTGCCTAACCAACGTTTTATAATTAGAACCAGGCCAGTCTTTTTGTGATGACCAAGAAAAAATATAGAAACATAAGCCTTGAAGATGGGCCCAATAGGTTGGCAAAAACAAAAAGAAAAGGGTAAACGGGTCCAAAAGGCTTCCAAACTGACAAGAAGGCGGCGTGGGCTTTTTCACCTAAAGTCCAGTTTATATAAGCCAACCCTAAAAGGAATTATAGTCATTGCTGGTCTCGGACTCTCCTCGCTCTTGCGTTATAAATCTGCTTTCTTCCATCCCCATCCATCACTCCTGTTGTGATTATTCATTAAGTTTTTACCCCCCTCCATTTGCGTTGGAACCCTTGTTTATTTCATCGCTGCTGGGTATTCGATTCTTTATTGCATCAGTTCCGAGTAATCCTTCCTGCAGTCAAGCTTAATCTTCCTTTTCAGGTTGATCGGTACGCCACGTTGTTGGCAATACGACTCTTTTGGGGTTATTATGCTGTGAATTCGCATGAATGGATCCAATTATTCATGCTTCGATGTTTGTTTTTGATATATTCTTCGCCTTTTCTGATTTGCAGTTTATGATCTGAGGGCTTGATTTTTGCCCACTAAGGTAAATTCGTCGAAAAGATATCTAAAGTCTCAAATGGGTAGAAAGAAGCCGACCGCCCGTGATGATGATAACGCCCCCACTGTGTCCCAAGGCGGTGGAAAGTCGAAAAAGAAGGGGTTAGTGATCGATGATGATGAGTATTCTATTGGAACGGAGCTCTCTGAGGAACAGCCTTCTCAAGAAGAGAAGCCTGCGGCGATGGGAAAGAAGAAAGGTAAAAAAGGTAACTCGAAGGCTTCAAAAGCCGAGGACGAAGATTTAGAACAGGCGATGGATGATAATGATGATGATGTGCCTGAAGTTGTCTTTACTGGGAAAAAGAAGGGGAAGTCAAACAAGGGTGGTGGGAATAGTGTGTTTACTGCTTCGGGCTTTGGTTTGCTTGGTGATGTGGAGGGCGGAGAAGAAGATGATGATGATGATGAAGACAAACAATCCGGGTTAATTGGTGGGGTGGACAATGACGACGAGGACGACGAGGACGACGACCCAGTTGTTAGTTTTTCAGGTAAGAAGAAGTCCTCAAAGAGTTCCAAGAAGAAGGGTGGTAGCTTGTTCACTACATCAGCTTTTGATGCTATAGACGAAGATGATGAAGGGGAGGTGATCGATAATTCTATGGAAGCCAGCCGTGAAGAGAATGATGACATGGATGAACCAGTTATTAATTTTACGGGTAAGAAAAAATCATCAAAAAGTAGCAAGAAGGCTGGTGCCTTATTCACAGCGTCTAGTTTTGGTGATGGTGACGGAGAGCAGGGCAAAAATGACCAAGAGGATGAAGATGAAGAGATTGCTCCGATCACTTTCTCAGGGAAGAAAAAGAAGTCATCGAAGTCTTCCAAGAAGGCTGTTAATTCTTCATTTAGTGCAGCTTTTGCTGAAGGGGACGTGGATGATGATGATGATTCTGTGCTCGAGTCTACTAGAGCTGATGAAAGTAAGGCTGAGGACGAAGATGTTTCTATTCCTGTGTTTTCAGGTAAAAAGAAGTCTTCTAAGAAAAACAAGACCGCTATTACCAAAGCTAGTGATGATTTTGAATCTGTTAATGAAAGTCAAGATGCTGTAGAGCCTAAGCAGCCTAGCGTAATAGACAATAAAGGTAATAAGGATGAAGAGATGATTGACACATCGAAAAATAAAAAGAAGAAGAATAAAAAGAGTGGAAGAACTGCTCAAGAAGAGGAAGATTTGGACAAGCTTCTTGCTGAGCTTGGGGAGGGGCCTCCAGTAAAACCTACTTCCCCTCCAGCAGCGGATGGTAAAGTTCAGGCTTCTTCTGAAGTAGCTGCTCCTGCTACTGCTGCTGTGGGAAAAGAAGGGGAAGATGCAATGGAGCCAGCTGCTGCAAAGAAGAAGAAGAAGAATAAAAAGAGCGGAAGGACTGCTCAAGAAGAGGAAGATTTGGACAAGCTTCTAGCCGAGCTAGGGGAGGGGCCTCCAGTAAAACCTGCATCCCCTCCAGCAGAGGATGACAAAGTTCAGGCTTCTTCTGAAGTAGCTGCTCCTGCTACTGCTGTGGTGGAAAAAGAAGGGGAAGAAGAGACAATGGAGTCAGCTGCTGCAAAAAAGAAGAAAAAGAAAAAGGAAAAAGAGAAGGAGAAGAAGGCTGCTGCGGCAGCAGCTGCTGCAAGTGCCCCTGATAATGAAAAGAATGAAGAAGTTAAACCTGAGACCTCAGAATCAAAGAAAAATGATTCCAAGACTAAAGCCGGTGACAAGAAAGTGCCAAAACATGTTAGGGAGATGCAAGAGGCACTGGCCCGAAGAAAAGAGGCTGAAGAGAGGAAGAAAAGGGAAGAGGAAGAGAGGCTAAGGAAAGAAGAGGAAGAGCGGCGGCGACAAGAGGAACTTGAGAAGCAAGCAGAAGAGGCAAGGCGTAGGAAAAAGGAAAGGGAGAAGGAGAAGCTACAGAAGAAAAAGCAAGAAGGCAAATTGCTAACCGGTAAACAAAAGGAAGAAGCTCGTCGTTTGGAGGCCATGAGGAAGCAGTTTCTTGCTGGTACAGGTGCTGTCACTCTTCCTACTGGGGACTCTGGTGCCCCAGCCAAACGACCCATATATCAGACAAAGAAGTCAAAACAAACCCATCATCAGCAGAATGGCTCTGCTCCTGTTAAGGCAGCTGAAGATGTGGAAGCAAAGGAAAACCTAGAGACCGCACCTGATGCAGAGTCATTGGAACCGGAGAAGGTTGAAGCGGCTGAGTCAGTGCAGGACGAGGATGAAGTTAAACCTTCTAAAGATGTTGAAGAGTTTGAAGTTGAAGAAGATGATGAGGATGAATGGGATGCAAAGAGTTGGGATGATGTTAATTTAAATGGAAAAGGTGCATTTGCTGATGAGGAGGCTGACTCTGAACCGGAACCTGTAGTGAAAAAGGAGATAAAAAATGCTGGTAAGATGTGCATTTCAATAAGCCTTCCTGTTATAATTTAAGCACTGTCGAAATATCTGGTGATTGAATTTGAATGTTTGGTTTCGTAGTGTTGCCTTTGGTACAGTCTGAGGAACTTCTTTGATCTTGTTGAGAGCTAAAATATGAGCACTTGTTATGCATTAAATTTTTTTGTTCCTTTTTATGGCTGGCTTGATGCGTTGAATGAATTTTTTTTGTTTGTTTAACGTCCTTCTTTTCAGACGGATAATTTGTTGTTTTGAGGTGAAAGTGTGTTTTATCCCTTTCCTCCCCCTGCTCAAGGAGAAAAAGGGGTTCAAGACTGTGTTTTAACTTTCCTATGCGAATATGCTCCCAGCCAGAAGGGTCGGATGAGACTTTTTTCCTTCCCTGTTGTTCTAGACTATATGACTGCTTGTTTGGTATCAAAACTTGGTTTTAGGTTCATTTGTTTCGATTATATTTTAGTGTTGGATGCTTCCTGTATCAAAATTTTCGTTTATTAATAGTGTGCTGCAAAATAAACTTGCTAATTAGTCATTTCGCATTGCCTGGCTCATGACATATATGTTGTTGTCATTGTCGCTGTTGGTATACATGATCAAAATTTTTTGTTTGTGTCCTCGTATGGCATCTTCGTTGCATGTCTATTATGCCATACCTCTCCATTCCTATAGGGTTGTTATCAAGTAAGTGATTCGTAGGACCTCAGTCAAACATTCCAACCAATATGTTTTGTTTGGCTAGGATGAGAAACTGTGAACTAATATCCTTTATCTCCCAGCAATAATCTGTTCTTGTATGTTCAAATCATGAATGTGTCTATGTTGTCTGTATGTGTCGCTCTTGGAGGTTTTGTTACACATTTACTTTTGCTAATTGCTATTAGGGACTTAAGTGTTTCCCTTCTAATTGCGACCTTTTGCTCCTTTGATTGTCTACCTTTTAGGACCCCCGGCTGCTGTCAAGTCAACAGGCACAACCAAGAAAGCTGCTTCCCAGGCTTCAACTGAGAAAATTGAAAGTAAAAAGCAGGTTGAGAAGCAACCAGCTAAGCTGGCTGTGCCTTCTCAGTCTAGTGGAGAGAACCTTCGCTCCCCAATTTGCTGTATTATGGGCCATGTGGACACGGGTAAAACTAAGCTGCTGGATTGTATTCGAGGTACTAATGTTCAGGAAGGTGAGGCTGGTGGTATCACGCAACAGATTGGTGCCACATACTTTCCTGCTGAGAACATACGTGAAAGAACAAAGGAACTAAAAGCTGATGCAAAGCTGAAAGTTCCAGGTCTACTGGTGATAGATACTCCTGGGCATGAATCTTTTACTAACTTACGGTCAAGGGGTTCTGGCCTATGTGATATTGCAATTCTAGTTGTTGACATTATGCATGGATTAGAACCTCAGACAATAGAATCACTCAATCTATTGAAAATGAGGAATACAGAATTCATAGTTGCATTGAACAAAGTGAGTATTTCAGTTTTATTCTTATTTTAGATATTGCTTTCTCTATTTTATTTTCGTCAATGCTCAGGGCTGTCACTATGGACTTGCCACATTGCAGGTTGACAGACTTTATGGTTGGAAAGTATGCCGTAATTCTCCAATTGTTAAGGCAATGAAGCAGCAAACCAAGGATGTGCAAAATGAGTTCAATATGAGAGTCACTCAGGTTCTGGAAGATAACACATCTTATCTGTCATACACATATATTTGTTATTGACCTCGTTCTGATTCATCTTTTTCCTTGTTAGATTATCACTCAATTCAAGGAACAGGGGTTAAACAGTGAGTTGTACTATAAAAACAAAGAAATGGGAGAAACTTTCAGCATTGTACCTACTAGTGCTATAAGGTAACTTCAATAGTCAGTCTTCTGCAATTCTTTATTGGTAGTTAATTCAAACGCACACCTGGCTAGTTTGAAGTTCATTAAATGAACCTGGACCATTTCTTTTGTGTGGAAGAATTGCCCAAAAGATTTAGTCACTCTCTGGTCTAATGGTGCCCTCGCTTTATTTTTCGCATTTGATTCTGCACATGCATAACTTTCCAAATTGGGTGAAGCAAGCTCTTTTATTTTGTCTGGGACTTAATCACCTGTTGTATGACCCTCTTAATACTTACTGCGTAGCTTTTTTTGTATTTTTGTTGATGTTTTGAGTGTTCAATATTACAGTGGCGAAGGTATCCCAGATTTGTTGTTGTTGTTGGTTCAATGGACACAAAAGACAATGGCTCAGAAACTCACATATAGTGATGAAGTGCAGGTTAGCTTTTTGTCACATAAGTTTATGCTGGTTGAGTGCTGTAAGGTGGCTTAACTGCCGGGCACTGATTGTTGTTTGATTTTACCACCAGTGTACAGTTTTGGAGGTTAAGGTTGTTGAAGGTCATGGGACAACTATTGATGTCGTCTTGGTTAATGGTGTTCTCCATGAAGGGGATCAAATAGTTGTATGTGGAATGCAGGCAAGTATCTCAAAACTGTACTTGCGACATCTTTAATCTGCATTGAGCTTCTGACTAATAAAATTTCTATCATAGGGGCCTATTGTTACTACAATTCGAGCTCTATTGACACCTCATCCTATGAAGGAGCTCCGTGTTAAGGTTTGCTTACCTTCTCTGTCGAGTTCTTTTAACAAATATGTCCCCTCTCTTGATTGAAGAAAGGGACCTTCTTTCTAATTTTATTTATTTATTGCAGTAAATGAGTGGTTTTCAGAGGTTTGTGTGAAAATCTCTTTGAACATTGAGGGAGAATTCTCAGATTCTTTTTCTGGATTGATTTTGTCATGTCACTATGCACTGCACTCCGCCTCGTGCTTTCTGTCAGTCTTAAAGTGGAATGATAATCAATGACTTAATTGCTGGAATTTTTTAAGTTAGAAGTCAAGATAAGATGTAATAACCCTAGGTTTTTTATTGTGATGCATGGTTGCTGGTTGAAGTTGATATAGTAGTAAGTTTTGTATAATCTAGAATACAGTGTGGTATAAATGAATTGTGGGAAATAATAAAATTAATAATGAACTTCAGTTTATAATTATTAATGCTAGTGTTCATTATTTAATTTAATATATTAGAACTCTGTTTTTCAACAACTTCTGGTGTTATTTCGGTGTGTTTCATTGCTTTGGCCCTTTTTTGGCTGCACTGAAATGGTCAAGTACTTCAGCCAAAAACCCTGAAATGTAAGATAGGGGAGCCTGGTTGGTCTGTGACTTGTAAGCATATCCCATCTATCTCCAGTATGGAGGGGGAATTCTTTAACCGTCAGCTTACATATTCTGTGAAGTAATTTGATGGTGTTGGATTTCAGGGCACTTATCTCCATCATAAAGAAATTAAGGCTGCTATGGGTATCAAAATAACTGCCCAGGTACTTCGTGCTGATATTGATCTGGCCTTGTTCTTGCCAATCCAACTTGTTATTTATCTCTTGCCTTTTTTATGAATGTGGAAGTTTTGATGATTTTATTCTGATCTATTGTATCTCAGGGGCTTGAACATGCTATTGCGGGCACTGCTTTATATGTGGTGAAGCCTGACGATGATTTAGAAAGTGTTAAAGAAGATGCCATGGATGATATGAAGACGGTCATGAGCAGGATTGACAAGAGTGGTGAGGGAGTTTGTGTGCAGGCGTCCACCCTCGGTTCTTTGGAAGCATTGCTGGAGTTTTTGAAAACACCAGAAGTCAATATTCCTGTTAGTGGCATAAGCATAGGCCCTGTACATAAAAAAGATGTAATGAAGGCCAGTGTAATGCTTGAAAAGAAACGAGAGTTTGCCACTATCCTGGCATTTGATGTCAAAGTCAATCAGGAGGCTAAAGATCTTGCGGAAGAACTAGGTGTGAAAATTTTTATGGCTGATATAATTTATCACCTATTTGACCAATTCAAGGCCTATATTGACAACATTAAGGAGGAAAAGAAGAAAGAAGCAGCTGATGAGGCAGTCTTCCCATGTGTTCTGAAAATCATACCAAATTTCGTTTTCAACAAGAAGGATCCAATCATATTGGGAGTTGATATTCTTGAAGGTGTTGTGAAGGTATAGCCATGGATGGATTTTATTTATAGCACTTTTTTCCCCTATTTATTAACTTTTATCACTGATGTTTTCTTGCACAGTTTAGATTATATTTCTCCTTGGTATTTGCTTAGTTGTGTATCAGTAGTTTACAAAGCACTCTCAATAAACTTATGCTTCATCTGTGTCACTGCGACCTAATTACCTATCTCTGAACTCAAAAATGGAAAGAATGTTCAATTCACTGTCTAATTCACTTTATCCTGTTGGTGTGTTCTGACGTGGATGAACTTCTGAAAGTTTGAATATTAGATCATGTTAGTGGCATCTTTTTCTTGACTGATTTGCGTCATTTTGAATTGGTATCTAATAATATGTGCTTGACAGGTTGGGACTCCAATTTGTATTCCTTCCAGAGATTACATTGATATTGGTCGCATTGCATCCATTGAAAATAACCATAAAACTGTTGATTATGCCAAGAAAGGGCAGAAAATAGCCATTAAGGTATGGGACAGATGTGATACTTTCTTAGTATGAATACTCCATGTGTTCCACTTATTATTATTATTATCTTTATATGTTAAACCTTTTCTGTTGAATGTTCTTCCATAGAATGAAAGAATCATGGTATGATTTTTTTTGGTTGGAAAACTTTTATGTTGGATTGAACTCGTAAATAAGGATGCTTTTCTTGGAAATCTTTTTTAATGTGCTTAGACTGAATCTAAATTTTTAAAATTAATGGAAACTATAATTTGTAGTCCTTGAATATTCCCTAAATTATCAATTCAGTCCTTGAACACTGACTTGGAGATGCTTAACTGAACACTGACTTGGAGATGCTTGATAGTTTGTTAGAAAATTATGGGGATCGGGCTGTATTGAGTTAAGAAACTATGAGAACTGAAGCGGTTTGAGCCAATAAGCTCCTTGAGACAAGTGGTTCCTAGTTGAAGTTTAAGGACCGAATCAATAGTTAAAAGAAAATTTAGTGACCTAAAGCAATATTTTCCCTAAATTTAACTTGTCACGAAGTTGCCCCAGCGCAAGGGGGAATTTGAAACGTGGGTTAAGCATGCTGTGGTTGACAATGAAAACATTGGTTTGTCTGTGTAAGTAATACTGACAGAAAATGGGTGATAAGTAGTTGTTAAATTGTTGGAGTAAAATTTCGTAGCATTGTCAGACATTGTTATGATTCGTGCATAAGATTAGAGAGAAAAGCATATCATGTTTGATTTTGTGTATGCACAGATTTATTTTCTCAGTTACAAGTCCTCTATGCTTTACAGATTGTTGGCGGCAATCCGGAGGAACAACAAAAGATGTACGGGAGGCACTTTGACGATGATGATGAGCTTGTAAGCCATATTTCGAGGAGATCCATCGATATTCTCAAAGCTAATTATCGGGTATGGTGTAATAGAGCATCAATATTTGTATGCAGGTCTGGATTCTGTTTCATAGCTGCTTATGCTATTATTACATGGTGTAGGATGAACTGAGTATGGAGGAATGGAAGCTGGTTGCGAAACTGAAAAATGTTTTCAAGATACAATGAGACTTGATGTGGGCGCTCTCGAGTATTGTTCTTTACGGTAAACACAAGTTGACTGAAGTGTCTGGTTTTACGCAAACAAAGCGGTTCAGAGATTTTTGTCTGGCAGCGATTTGGATCCTTCGTACAAATGGTGCGATGAGTATAGAGGGGCATTGTTTGTCGAGGAACGCTTTGTTCCGTGAGAAACTCATGCTCAGTATCAGCAGGCAAAGTTGAAGATAAAACGCTGAGAGAAGGGGGCTGGCAAAAGCTGGAGTTTTGTGAAATGTTTCCCGGTATCATGCGGTATACTTTTACCGGGGCCGGAAGCAGTTACAAGGATCTAAACATGGATAAGAGAGTGACTGGAGCTGACAGTTGTTACTGATCGATTGTTTATTCGCTGGGGAAAATATCTTCTACCTGAGTAAACTACATGAATGTACCCACCTATAGTGTAGAACGTTCAGTTTTTGTTGCATTTTCTTTACCATATATAGCTTCTCCAACAATTTTCCTGCCCTGTCTACCCATTCTTTTTTCGCCAATGAACGTGGCGGCCCGTTCTGGTTGAGACGTTAGGGCGGCGTTTTTTTTTTTTTTTTTGCTAACGAGGGCGGCGTTTGCTTAAATAAGGTATTAAGGTTTGTGTTTATTATATTAAGGGAAAATTAATTTGTAGGTCCTTGCAGTTTTGTTCAATTTTGAATCAGGTTTTTATATTATTTTTTTCTTCTTTTTATTGGATTATTTAACTTCTCACTGTCACGTTCGTTAGTCGCTAATGGTTAAATCTGTTAAAATAAATATCAGCACCGTTAATAATTTCCTGTGAGCACCGTATGAAATATCTCCTTCTGCCATAACACCATATCCATGCAAGCTCTCCTCTCGTTCGCTCATGTCACCCGAGATACATATAGAGCTGCCTCATGTATTATGCAAAGAATTACGATCCAAGCACTTTAAGTCCAAGTCAAAGGTCGCTAATGTCATCATCGTCGTCGTCCTAGTCTGTAGTTGTAGGGGTTGAACAAAAAGAGTTGCTAGGGTTTATACTCTCTAATCTACCCCTACAAAGGAATCTTGGGTCCTCAACAACAACTAGGTATTTTTTTGGATTACTGCGAACGGCCAACATATTGGATGTTTTCAAATAGGGCAGAGATGTGTTGGAGAAGATAGGACTGCAGCTCGAAGAAGCTACACGAGGTGATCTTCTCATACTGAGCTATTCGCACCTTAAGGAAACGATCTACAACGTAAATTGTACGGAGAGAATTCTGACCCACTTCTTGACTGATTCAAAAGAAAGAAATACTGTTGCAGTGGACAGTGATGACGGTGTCACCAGATCGCTAGTGTTAATGGTTGTCAGGATGCTTCTACAAACAAAGAATGATAATGAATAATATGATGCACTAAAACTAGTTTGCAACAAAATTCCATACACTGCAAACAACATTTTAATAAGATATGAAAAATGCCTCTATTTTTTAGTACTAAGACAGGGGAGGCATTCTTCATTTTTCATTCATATAGCCTCCGCAAATATAGTTGTTTCAATTTCTTCCTCAATGTGACCATACTATATATAATACATGCTCCTACTAACACTTTGATTTTTCTTCATGTATCTGTATATATAATGGTATATAATTCTACAAATAAAGATGGTATATATTGAGTTGAAATCACATCCTGCGCTGCTTTATATGTCTACATATATTGACCTCAAAGGTGCCTCTTTATTTCATCATTATCTAAGTGTATTCCTCACTCTAAACTCTTCTGAGTTTCTAGACTATCATTTTCTTTCATGTTATTTTGTTACATAATTGTCTAACGGGGATCGAATTGGATGGTGAAGGAAATGTGACCGTGAGCATGGTTGAAGAGGATCACAGTGACTTTGTGACTAAGGGAAGGAAAGGTGTTATGCAGAGCTAGGAAGGAATGGCGAGTCATTTACAGGTTGAGAGAATGGTGGGGAAAGAGACGGTTTTAGGGATGAGCGCAGGAGAGAGTAGAATTTACAGGAACTTGGGTTTATGAGGGAGGGAGGGATATTTCAGGGGGGCCCAACGAAAATTATTAACGGTGTTAGTGTTTATTTAACAGATTTAACCCTCAAGGACCAACATATGTAACTGTAAAAAATATAAGGATCCAATAAAAAGGAAAAAAAAAAGAGAGTAGAAGGACCTGATTCAAAATGAAAGTAAACTACAAGGACTTTCAAATTAATTTTCCCTTATATTAATATCTTAGAAGATATAGGTTGTTTTAGGGAAGCTATAACCTTATTGGAATAAGGCACTTTGATGTGGCTGCATTGTTTATGAATGTGGGCTTAGATGCTGCAAAAACAGTTTTCCGATTGATATGCTATACTTAATTGTTGCGATTGATATTGCATCTGTGAAGTTCTAGTTGGTCCTTGTGAAATATCAATTGCGGACACATGTTTATTAGTCATGCGGAACATAACAACTGAAATATTATGGTGTCTTGTGAAAGGAAAGAAATTCTCAATTAAGCGGTTTCTTCTTCTTCTTCTTTTTTGCCAACAATTAAACGGTTTCAATACGAATAGCAGATTTAATGGGCACGGAACGTTGTCTAAAGTATTTACCCGTACCTTTTTATTATTGTCGTTATATTCTTTATTCAAGGAAATTAAATTAAACTATTGTAATTTGTCACTTCTTACAATAAGACACGTTTGTTCAGATAAATCATTTTCGTCTATTTAGCTAACGTGATTTCATAATCGTATTAACAACACATAATTTAATAATCAATATCCTTCAATCTTCGATATACCCCCTCCCATTCTTAACATGCCCCATGCATAGGAATATAACAGTGAATTTTATTAAAGCGGGGACGCTGAGTTTTCTATAAATTCTGTCAAATTAGAAAATAAAAGAAACAAACATACTATGAAAACTGAAAAGAAAGAGAAAGCACAGGTGTTGCAATAGGAAATGATCATACAAGGATTTGAAAGAAGCCATGACAAAGCTATTAACATCCTGTGAAGAATAACAGCACAATAGTATATTTCCGGTTCGGAGAGATCTGAGTCATATATCATCCTTTCTCTTGATACTAGGTGCGTCACCAAAATAACATCAGCTGGTTACATATATACGGAACCATACATCCTGAAAACACAGAAAAACTCAGTTGGCAAAGTGAAATGATTGATTCACTAGAGTCCACTTGAGCCAATCAACTTGGTTAATCCAAAAGTTATGGCCATGGCTAGCCACCCCCCAACCAACACCCTCACCACAGACCTCAAAGCAGGACACCCACCAAGAACCGCACTTAGCCATCCAAAGACCACCAAGGCCAAGCTCACTGCGGCCACAACCACCCCTAACCTCAACCTGTACTCTCTTATGAATGAAGCTCCAAGCAATGGCACCATTGCTCCCACAGAAAATGCCAAAGCTGATGCTGCCGCTGCCTGAAATGGCTTTGGCAAACCCTCTTTCTCTTCCTCTTCTTCTTTCTGATCTTTCCCACTTTCCTTGTCTCTCTTCATCTGAGCGATCTCGATGTCTAACTGCGAGTACACCGACACGAACTCTCCGATGGCCATACTACAAGCTCCGGCCACAAGACCAGCAAAGCCTGAGAGAATCATGGCCTTTATGTCTTGCTTCACTGCTCCCACACCCACCATGAGAGACGCCGTGGACACCAACCCATCATTGGCTCCCAAAACTGCGGCCCTTAGCCATTGAGATCTTCTGGAGTAATCAAAGTCTTTGGTTTCATTAGTCTGGTCTATCTCTACAGGTGTGATTTGCGTCTCAAGGTCGGTGCTTTGAAGGGAAATTTTGGGTATATGGTTGGACGCCATGAGAACCAAAGCTCTTGAGAGAAGAGAGATGGATGAAGAAGAAGATGACGTGTGGAAAAAGTGTGGAGGACACACGCTATTATAAAGAAGAGTATTTATGGATGAACATTGTCAACTTTGGAGGCAAAAGTTGGACAATATCCCGCCAGTTAAAGACGAAAGGATGTGCTGTGTTTACTAAATTTGTTAGGACAAAACAGTATCGTGTTTTCGGTGAGGTGAAAAAAGTTCATTCATTAGAAAGAGAGGAAGAAGCAGATGATGAACAAGATTGTGTTGTTTTTCATTTTCCACTGACTTCATATATTCAGTCATTGGCCTCAAAATCGAAGGATATATTCTTGAGCTTTTTTGGTGGTTTAATGTATGACTTGGCGGTCCTGGGTCATTATCACATGTTAAAAACGCAACAGATAAAAACACAGTATAAGGATGAGATATTATGCCTCAGAAGGTAAAGTATCTTATGGAGTAGAAAAATTTACACTACTAAACGTAAAATTGTAGACGCAGTATATATCCCGAGTGCCAGAAAAATATATATAGCTAGCATCTATTTGCAGCGCTTTTGTTGATGAACAAGGCAGATTTTCTCTTAAATAATGAAGATGAAGATCACATAGGGGAGCCTGTAGGGTAGGATAAGAACTTACCAAACAAAAGCATTATAGACTCATAGAAAACATAGGTTCTTAGGATGGAAGAAGAAAAAGACAGAAATATTTAGGGGTTTTATCAAGGGAAGGTAAGGGAAGAAAAGAATGGTAACATATAAGACGTCATATATGTTGAAGGCAGTTATGCTTGATCATCTGAACATCATGACTAGGGCATGAAACACAGACAAAGACAAGTGAAGGTACTGATAACCCACATGTAATGGCACCTTTCTTCCTTGCGGAAGTAAAGGGAAAAGGGACACCATTTTAAGGAACTTTTTGACGTTTTCCCTCAGAATGTGTTTGTTAAGTTTACAAGAACTCGTGGGCTTCACTGTCCTATCTGTTCGATAATCTTATCTAATGGAGATTACAACATTTAAAATATCAATTTGCCGTGTGTGAAGATCAGAAGAGTTTCATTTTGGTTGTGGAGTATATAGAACGGAAGGCTCAAATCTTGGACACAAAACTAGATAGATAGAATCCAAAACTTCGCCATGCGCACCGACTATATGAACTTGTAGCCTAATCTATCTTATTCTCTGACAATTTTTTTAATTATATTTTTAATTTTCTTAATTTAAATAATTATTTAAGCAGTTAAAAACTTATATTTATTGGTATTATGTTTATTTAAACATTAAAAGAAATAATAAGATTCAAATTGTTTGAACCAATTCTGATTGATATATGACGATACATTTTGTGTACACTTCTCTAGATAGTTATATGTAGAGAATCGAGATTCAAATTTGAGGGAATAACAAGCTTCTCATGTTTAATTGCCTCTCAAACTAATTAATTTGAATAATTACACTCAGATACGCTCAGACTAAACATGCGAAGCACGTGAAAAAAATAACTGATTCTTTGAACCATGTGAAGAGGCTTGCGCAGGTCATAAGCTTCATTTGTTTGTAAATTATTTTAGTGCTAAAATCGATGTTCACATAGTTAATTAATCCAATATATGCAGCTCCAGGAAATATTTAATTTTAGTTACACTAGTTTGAGCTCTTGTTTTAATTAAGTTGGGTTTTCTTCTTTAAGAAGTTAAACAAATCGAGACATGTATACAACTCTACCCATGGTCGTTTTTAGTTTCAGTTGGGTTAATAGAACATTAGAACGTTTTGTTTTTATAACTTGCCTTCATCTGTTTTTTGACACTTAGAGCCAGTTTGTTTCAACAGTTTATAGTGTTAATTTTTATTGCATTAGCATCAAAAGCATGTTTAGCTAGACTTTTTAATGATAATAAAAATTATATAATAATGAGAATCGCACTTTTTTTTTTGGTAATATTGGTTCCTAAAGAGGGACATATGAGCTCAGATCATTACAAGACTGCAATCCTTTTTAAATGACAGAATTATAATAAAGTCCCAAGTAAGAAAAACAAGTCCCAGAGGTTGTCATTCTTCATATAGGACTTGTCATTATAAGCTGTTGAGGTTGTTAGTGAGACTTTTTGGTAATTATTTGTCTTGTGTGAGACTTGATTGTAAGAATTCTCTCATTTTAGATTGTCTATTTTACCCATTAAAAAAAAAAAATCCTCTCCCTCCTCTCTCTTGTACGAAGCGCCATCATCTCTGCCTTTCTTCTCATCAATGCCACCACCGGCGGCATCTTCGTCTTCTCTGCCACCCGTGACTTCTTCATCTTCATCTCCCCCGCAGTCATCCACCACCTCCATCTCCATTGAAGTTTACGACATCGCCTGAGTTCAAGGAAGAAGATGGTGATGTCTACAATATCGAAAGAGTTCTAAAAGAATAGATTGAAGTGGAGGATAACAAATTTGCATTTCTCCACCATCGCTGACCTCTTCATCCTCTCCACCACCTATGGCCTCTTCCCTTTTCATCTTCTCCACCACCGACACCCTATTCCCTCTTCATTTCCTCCACTATCATTGACCTCTTCTCCCTCCCCATTAAACTCTATGGCGTCTCCTGAGTTCAAGGTAGAAGATGATGATGTTTGTAAAATAATGGATCGAAGAGGGAGCAGAACAGATGTATGTGAATCTTCTTCACTACCAGCAGCCTCTTGCCTCTGCATCTTCCCCACTATCAGCAACATCTGTAGCTCAACTAAGTTCAAGGTAGAAGAAGATGATGACGACGTACTATACTTTCTTTCCCGCTGAAACTATTCCGTCTGGGAATGGTGATGACAGGAAGGTGTAAGAGGATGGAAGGAAAAGAGGGTATTTTAACAAACATAATTTAGTAATTTCATATTTATTTTTATTTAGTTTAATATTAACAAATAACATTAGCGCAGTTGTTCTTAATATCATACCAAATTAAACATGCTCAAGGTAATAAAGATTGTATCACATTGGATTGCATGACAAGGCATTGCACTACTAAGAAAGCCTGTAATTGAACCAAACGGGTACTTAGTTTATAATTTTAAATCATAGGTTTTAGGTTTTTATTTTTTTTTGTCCAAAACATTATTCTTATATTTTAATAAAAACTTGGATCATTTGTTTTTTTTAAGGGACCAGAATAAAAATAAAAGCAAACTATGAGGATCAAAACAATGTATTAACCCAAAATATCTTTTCTAAAATTATCTTGTTGTTATCTAAATGTAGATCCTCAACAAGGGGGAGGAAAAAAGAAAGATAACCATGAGAAATCAGACACTCACAATTTTCTTATTCAACCCATAACATGCCTGAAACCACAACAACAACTATAGTACCGATGATGCATGATAAAATCAAGGATGTTGTCTGAAACAGCAACAACACAACAACAGCAACAAGTAGAGATAGAAATAGAAACAGTACTGATGATGATGCATGCTAAATTAAGGAAGTTGTCTGTTGAGGAAAGTAACGAAACAACTAAAAATCGGGAGGGAGAAGGCCACGGGCTGCAAGAGCTGCTGCAATAGCATCGAAAAAGAAACTATCCAGGTTCAGTCGCTTCGCTTCTTCCATCATTGATTTCTGGGAAGCTGTAAACAGCCACCAACAAGAAAGAATTATTGTCTATATATATACTCCTCCGGTCCTTATTATAAGACCCAATTTGACTTTTTATTTGGTCCTAATTATAAGACTCAATCCATTTTGTCTCTTATATTTATGCATTTTTTCCCAAGATAATCCTTCTAATAATGATAGTTTTAGCCAATATACTTAATTAGCAAGGATATTTTAGGAATGACAACACTTATTTATTATAAATAACCAACTTAACTTACTTCCTTAATCTCCTCAAATAAGTCAATTGGGTCTTATAATTAGGACCGGAGGAGTATATATATAGAGTAGAATCCATATATATAATGTATAATAAACTAAGCATAAAAACCAGTGACACACGATAATCGGAAAATTATCAAAAGCATATCAAGTCGCGAGTTTCCTGTTCCACTTTGAACCTATATATAGGAAAACAATTAATACGCAGAACAATGTTATACTGAAAGCTATGCATGAAGATTCATACATAACACAATTCGTTCAACAGTAATAACAGTAGAGATTGAGCATATTTTTGTCTATAATCCAACTCATTGTAGGAAACCACGAGCATAAACTACATATATATTCACCCAAAATTACCTTTTTCAAGTTTGATTTCTCGCTTCATAGCTTCTATTTGCCCCTTAAGCTCCTCAGTCTCAGCAGTCAACTCTCCATATTTTCTCTGTATATCACATACAAATTAGTTTGCTTTGTTTGGACGGGGAAAGAAAAAAATAGTGAAGAGAAGATATTTTCTCAAATTACTTTTGGATCAACAGGAGAAATCACGGAAGAAAGAAAAGTGACTAACTTTAGAAGGAGTGTAACACCCATATCACAAGAAGATATAAATCCCATGCCTCTTTTTCTCTCATTTGAGGCAAATCTAGAAAACACGTGTTCTTTCCAAAATCTCTTAACTTTGGAAAGGAAAACTTTGAAAAAAAAAATGTGGTTCTTATTTTCTATTTTTCCTATGTTTTTTCTTCTCTAGTTTTCTCTTCATATCCAAATATAAGGCAGAGGCTTTTGAATCTCATCTTGAATTGAATTATGCAATGAGTTTCACCCGAGAGGCAACCTAATACACAATATTCTCTAGACAAGTTGGAGTAAAAAACTCAAAAATCAGTCTCCTTCTCTCATGAATCCCAAAGAAACATAAAGAATCATTGAAGACGTACAACTGATAGGGCATACATCAAAGATGGAATAATTGAAGAACTAGCCTCCCTCATCTTGAGCCAGCAATGCGTATAAGATGAACATAAATATATAATCCTTCATACAGGATAAAGGAAAATGACAAGTTTATGAGACAACAACATCAGCATCCACACATT